ATCCTGAGAACCTACTTCCTACAGTTAGACACAACTCATATTTGAGTGTCATTATGCAAGTTGCTAATACACTGAACAGATTTCAGCAGTTTCCAGACAAAGATGAACAAGGAAGAAAGGCCTGGCAATTTACTTCCAAAACTTAGCCCATGGAAATTTTACAGATCGAAACAATTGAGTTCCATTGTGCTTGGGGTTGCCATGAGCAGGGAGCTTGCAGGATGGCAATTTAATAACAGCACAGATCAAAATAAGTGCTTTCAGCTTAATATCAACAAATCTACAATGTATTAGTTACTCACCCTCACTTTACAGATGGATAAACTGAATCTGTAACAGATAATGTGATTTGTTAAAGATCAGATGGCTAGAAACAACAAAAACATGTTTTTCTGCAAATTCCACTGCTTTTCCACTTAATCCTTGATTCTTAGGCTATTTTAACAGTCCAAGGGAACTCAACACTCACAAACCCTGGCTGTAGAGTAAGATATTTCTATGTTTGGCTGCAATACTTATTAACAATGTGAGCTGTATGTGAAGAACTTACTCCCCTTCCTGTTTCAATGGGGCCTTAATGCCACCACCTAAGAAAGTGTACAAGCTGAATTACATCGCAGCATCAAGAAAACAGAAATCCTCACCACTGGACCAATAGATAACATCATGATAGATGGAGAAAAACTTTGAAGCTAACAATTCTATTTGACTTAGATCCACAAACACCATTCATGGTAACAGCAGTCAGGGAATCAAAAGATGTATTGCATTGGGGAAAATCTGCTGTTAGGGACCTCTCGAAAGTGCTAAAAGACAAAGGATGTCAACTTAAAGACTATGGTGTGCCTGATCCAAGCCATGGTATTTTCAATTGTGTGGTATCTGAAAGTTGAACAATGAATAGGAAGGTCACAGTGGAATGGATGCCTCTGACTTGTGGTGTTAGTGAGGAGTATTGACTATTTTATGGACAACCAAAAGAACAAATCTGATTTTGAGGAAGTGCAAAGATAAACCTCTATCTTTAGAGGTAAGGATAGTGAAACATTAGCTTCTATACTTTGTGCTTATTGTCAGGAAGGGCCAGTGCTTGGGCGGGGGTGGAGGGGAGAGGCATATTGGAAAGGCAGAGGGTGAAGAAAAGAGGAAGACCTTCAATAAGACAGAGTGACAGAGTGACTGTAACAATGAGCTCAAGAATAGCAGGGACGTGAAGATGGAGCAGGATCTGTGATTCAGAGGGTCACTGTGAATCACAGTCAACTCAACATTTAACAGTGACAACAAGCAGAAGAAAGCATAAGGGGCTTTGGTGGCATAGTTTGTTTTGTGTTGCACTGATAATCCAAAGGCAAGCAGTTTGAATTCACCACCTGCTCTGTGGGAGAAATATGGGCAGATTCCTCCCCTAAAGATTTGCAACCCTGAAAACTTGATGGTGGGGGTTGCTGCAGGTTGGCATTGGCTTGACAGCAGTGGATTGCAAAGAGGCGTAGAATCTGAGGGGGCATATTGAAGAGCCACTGAACTGCCACTTTGGTAGTGGGAGCTGTTTCTTCTATCTTGTTCCTGGGTCTGGGCTAGGTGTCTGCTCCTGTGACTATTTGCAAAGCCAGGACTTTAGGATTCCCAAATTTAAGCCAGTGGTTCTCAACTCATTCTTAGGCTTGACTTCAGTCTGGAAGAACCTCAATCTCTTCCTTTGCACGAGCTAGAGTGTCTATGACATGCAATGAAGGCTGAGTCCATGGAGAGGGTGCAGGGTGGACAACAGGAGGTCCTTCAGATTCTCAGACCATTGTGATTGATATTAAAACTAGCCCTACATTTTTACTTCCTTTGCCTCTGGAAGTCTTAAAACTACTTGTGCTCCTTTGTTTCCAATTTTCACATTCCAACCACCAGTTATTAATGTATCTTGATTGCATGTTCAATCCATTTCAGACTGCAAAAGATGGTTGTTGCTTTCGTTGTTTTTGTGTGCTGTTGAGTCAAAACTAACCCACAGTTGGCCCTATACCATAGCTGACCCCTCAGAGGGTTTTCAGAGGCAGTTAACCTCATGGAAAGAGATTGCCTATCCTTCTCCTGTGGAGCTGCTGTTGGATTTGAACCTCATTCCTTCAGGATTACAGCATAGTTTCTTACCACTAGGCCATCAGAACTCCCTGCCAAAGATGGTAGAAATCACTGATTTCTTATCTTGGGCTTTAGTGGTTATTGAGTGTATTTGAATAATGGTTGTAGTAACAGATTTTGCTTGTAAATGTATGGAATGTATCCCATCACTCACAAACATCATCCTTTAGGATAGATCTTGAAATGTTCTTTTTAATGATGAATACAGCACCATTCCTCTTCAATTGGTCTCAGCATAATAGATCATATGATTGCCTGATTCAAAATGGCCCAATATTAGTCCATCTCAGCTAAGATCTCATGCCTAAAATGGTGATCTTTTTGCATTCCATTTCAATTTTTACAACTTCCAGTTTCTCTAGAGTCATAATTTGTACATTCCATGTTCCAATTATTAATGGACGTTTGCAGCTGTTTCTCCTCATTTTTTGAATGCCTTCCAACCTTCCAGCACTATAGCCAACAATGCTCCTGTTATTCATAGTGTTTCTGAAGGCCTGCTATTTCAGAAGGAAATGGCTAGTTCTGCTTCTTTACAGCAAAGATGCAAATTTAAAGACTAAAGTTCACCTTGTCCAAGTCATGTGTTTTCAAAAGAATCAAAGTCTTTGAATTACGTTGGATAAGAGGAGTATATATTCAAGTGGCTGCCTCAGGACCAAACAAGTCTAGCTTGGAGGAAGTACAACCAGGGTGGTCCAGAGGCAAGGATGGAGAAACTTAGTCTCACATATTTTGGGCCTGTTGTCAGGAAGGGCTAGACCCAGAAAAAAAAATAAAAGACATCATGCTGGCAAAGGTAGAGTGTCAACAAAAAAGAGGAAGAGCTTCAGAGAGACAGACTGACACAGTGACTGTAACAGTGGGTTAAAGTGGGTGGAGACTGTGAGAACAGTCCAGGATAGGGCAAGGTCTCAATCTGTTGTTCATAGGCTTGTTATGAGTTATGGTCTACCAGGCGGCACCTAACAGCAGCACCTGGAAGTCTTCTTTCAATTCATTAGGAAGTTGGAGAAGACAGAGATGACTCAGTTCTCCCACTTTGGCAACTAACTACCTGACTCCCTTGAGCCCCAATTTTCTCCTATATCAAAAAGAGATGTCAAGATTATAGGCTTTGGCAGGATTAGGTGCATAGCATAGTGTCCAACAAATAGTAATGGTTCAAATAGTAGATGTTAACCATCAATAGTGGTGCCTTAAACTGGGCAGCAGAGCATATTCTCATGCTCCTCTAGCCTAGAAAACACAGAATAATGAAAATCTTCATGATTCCATGTATTATTTTAGTCAATCAAATCAGCATGTTCCTAAAGATAAAGCATACATACAGGTAACACCCACTCAAGGGGACCATTCATAGTATTCATTTCTTTGGTGGATGTATTTTGGTTTTGCTTGCTCTGAGTATCTCCCTACTGCCTTCAGTAATAGAATGTCTGTTTTCCTACAGGATACCACCCTTCTCAGGTCAGTTTGTCTAGACTGGGGCTGATCCCACTCATTAGCACCAGGGGTGAACATATACAAGGACTTGGCTGATCAGAGTATTTTTATTCCTGACAGTGAGCCTTAGGGTGAGTACCTCAATCAGACCAAGGCATCCAGAGTCATCTCCTGGCTTTTTTCTAAGAGCTTTTTTTTTCTTTTTCTTTTTTTTAAGGTGATAATATTCTTGAACTATTATTTACCACATGTAAAGATAATTTATCTTATGAAGCAATCAACAAAGGGAAATAGGGGGAAAAAAAGGAAAGATTTCTAATTACTATTGTTGTTAAGTGTTGTCCAGCTAGAACCAATTCATAGCTGACCCTCCAGTGAGTTTCCAGGGACTGTAAATCGTATGGGAGGAGATTGTCCATCTTTCTCCCTCATAGTAGCCTGTGGATTAGAACCATCTGTCTTTGGGTTGGCAGTTCAGCTCCTTACCACTAGGCCACCAGTGCTCCTTAATTGACATTAGATTTCTAACTGACCTCCTGGACAAATCTATTTCTAAATTTAAAATTTTTACTCAGTTAGATGAGCCAAGAAAAATCACCAAAGAGAACTGTTTGGGTGGACTTTCCACCACTCACCTGAGAGCACAGACACAAATCCATCTGACACAAAGGTGTCAAGTGTATTTGCATGTCACAACCTCCCAGGCATAAGTAATTTTAGAAGAGCTAGGTGCTCTTGGGACCTTTATGGGAATGGAAAACAGTTGGAGAAATCTAAGCAAATAAATTACATCTTTCTACATATAGACTGTTGTCCTGACAGTTCGGAGTCTTCAGAATCTGTCTTTTGGGGACAGATGCTCAACTCTGATGGTCCTGAGGACACATCTGGATAACCACTCTGTTATAGACAGTTCATATTCCGGTTGCCACTGAACTGATTCCAACTCATGGTGACCCCATATATGCTAGAGTAGAATGTGCTCCACAGGGTTTTTTCAATGGAGAATTTTTCTGGAAGGAGATCACTAGGTCTCCTCAAGGTGTTTCCGGCTGGGCTCCTCTTTTCAAACTTTCTGTATATCAGCTAAGTGCATTAATATTTGCGCCCAGGGATTCCATGCCACCCTTCCTCCTTTACTGTCATTGAGTTGATTCTGACTTACAGCAACTTTACTTAAAGACAGAGCAGGCTCTAAACCTTTAGAGGAAGTAGACTGTTTCATTTTTGTCCTGAGTTTGAACAAGTGTTATGTTGCTTTGCAGCTCAACCATCGGGGTTCCTTAACAAACATACAGACTGTACAGAAGCGGGTCAGCATCAGCAATGGTCAGCAAGTCACAGCGGCTACAAAGCTAAAGCACAGGTCTCAATAGGGCTTCCCAGAGAAGAGGGGTCTCCTCCCCTGAACCTACCTGAGGCACTGGAGACTCGGGATACATCCTGGGACTGGGTGGAGCGGTTTCGAATGTGCTGTCGGCGCCGACTGGAGGCTGACCGCGGGGTACGAACGTGGACCTCGCTCACTTTGAAGAAGGCCACCATGAAAGGCTGCTTGTCATACGGGCCGTCTCTGCCCACCAGGCCTGCTGCTCGCGGGCTGATGCTGAGGCCTTTACAGCAAACAAAGCACATCTTGATTTAGTTGTTTGAGCTCTAGTATCTTTCCTGGTATCCAGGTGATAGTAAAGAATAAGTCTTGGGGAGGAATCTAAGAATTGTCTAATCCTGATGGTTTTTTTAAATGGATACCCCCCTCCCCAAACCCTACAGCCAGCGAGGCAACTCTGACTTACTGCAACCGTGGAGGTCAGTGCTGAACTGCCCCAACAGCTCCCTACATGTACATCTTAACAGGAGCAGACTGCCACATCTTTAACTCCCTGAGAGTGACCACTGGTTTAAACCTCTGACCTCCTCGGTTAGCTGCAAAACATGTAACCCACCACGCCACTCAGGAGCCTTTCCAAAGTCAGGGTGATCAATTCAAAGAAAGGCTTTCAAATGAGTCTCTCACAGGGAATATTCATATTCACATTCATTTGTACACCTTCTTCTTTCTGGTCTATAATTTTCCCAACAGGTAAGGCCGCTGCACCAGTAATGTTTGCACAGCAAGCCCATGAGGACGGGAACCAGCAGCTACAGCACTACAGCTTGATGCTTCAGATCCACTCAACAGTCTGTGTTCAAACGTATGCCTTCACCCCACACTTAGGTCTCAATCTCCTTCCATCTGAAATCTGTCCTTCCACAGATGCTCAGGGCTCAAAAAGTATCTGACCAACCTTCCTGGAGGATTATAGTTCAGCCCTAGTTCCAGGTATTTCCTAGCAGAAAGATTTTGCTTTTCAAGAGCAGTGAGAAATAAAAACATCAAGCCCACTGCTGTCAAGTCAATTCTGATTCATAGGGACCCTCCAACAAGTGTCCAATCCCTGGAGAAGGTGGTTTTATCTTTCTACTACACAGCAGCCGGCGGGTTAGAACCACTGACCTCTTTCATTTAGTACACTTAACCTACCAGGCCATCAGGGCTCCTTATGTAGCTATTTCTCACTGCCATCAACTCAGGTTCGATGCAAAGCTGACCCTCCACTGTGGTTCTGAGGCTATAAATCACATGAGAAAGACTACCCATTTTCTCCCTTGGGACCACTGGTGGATTTGAACTGTCAGCAAAAAGTGACCTATGGAATAGCATCGCAGCACTCTATGAACCATGCAACTGGAGCTCCATTATGAAATTACATTTTTGTTGTTAGATACTGTCTAGTACAACTCATAGCAACCCTGTGAATAACAGATCTGAAACCTGTCCTAGCCTGTGCCAACCTCACAATCTCTGAGACACTCAAGCCCATTGCTAGAATCACTGTGTCAACCCACTTGGTTGTATGTTGTTGTTGTTGTTGTTGTTGTTGTTGTTACATGCTGTCGAGTCACCTGCGACTTATAGTGATCCAGTGTACAAAAGCCCTAAACCCTGCTCTCTCCTGTGCCAATCGCATTGCCCCGACACACCCATCCCAATTACCCCAGTCACTGAATCAATCCACCTCATAGAGGGTCTTCACCTTCTGCGCTGTCCTTCCACCCTCCCAAGCATGATGTCCCTCTCCAAGGACTTGTCCCTCCTTACAACATGTCCAAAGCATATCAGACAAAGCCCCAGAATCCTCGCCTCCAAGGAGTAGCCTGATTTAACCCTCTCCAGGATGAATCTGTTTGTTTTCTTGGCAGTCCATGGTACATTCAATACTCTTCTCCAGCACCACAGCTCAAAGTCATCAATTCTCCTTCTATCCTTCTTAGATGGTATACCAATTGACTTTGTTGTATAGGGAGCAATAAATTAGGTTGTCCTGGATGGAGGGACTATTACTAAATGAAACAAATGAAAGCAGGACTTTGCCTGGCTCTAGGAGGCTCTGACTCATAACTTACCATCCCTCGTCACCACACTCAGCTGAAGCCCCAGGTTATGCTGTGGAGTCACAACCCACAGATTGCTGGTGGCCGTGATGTCAAATTCCAGCCAGCCTTCCTCTGAGGCCCACACAATGCGAGTGTCCAACAAAAAGAGGTCAGAATCTCTGGAAGAAGAAGAAAAAAAGGCAACATGATGAGAAGCATGTCATCCCCAACTCTTTCTCACTGTATCTTGTTCTGGAGTAATAGTCAAGCATGCCCAAGTTGGGGCCCATTCCCCTGATACACCCTGGGACCTACTGGAGCATGATGTCACCTACAGAGGACGTGCACACAATACACTTAGCAGACAGATTATTCCTGAGACAATGATATTTCTCACCTTCTGCTGTGAAGCCTCATTAAAATTGCTCTTGCCAAGTTTTGTTTTGTTTTTAGATTATTAATTTATAAAGGACTCAATCACACACTATTGTTTACATTAAGGAACTTTGGTGGCTTAGTGGTTAAGCGTTTGATTGTTCTAATCAAAAGATCAGCTCAAACCCACCAGTTGCACCACAGGCAAAAGACAGGGCAGTCAACTTCCACGCAAATTTACAGCCTTGGAAGTCTGGCAGCACAGTTTCAGTCTGTTCTGAAGCAAACTTATGAGTCAGAATAGACAGCAACAAGTTAGGTTGCTTACTTTGTAGCTAATGAACTCCACAAAGAGAGGAAAGTAAGAGAGGCAGGCATCTAGAAAAAGGATTGAAAAGGAGGGTAATGGACTGATACAAGAGATTGAAAATCTCATAGACTGTCAAAAAAGAAACCAACAATTCAGTCCTTGAAGATGAACAGTGGGTATGCTCTTTGGACATGTTATCAGGAAAGACCAATTTCTGGAAGAGCACATGGTATTTGGTAAAGAATGGAGTCAACTAGAAGAAGAAAAGTGTGCAGTGAGACAGACACATTCAACAGTCATAACAGTGAGTTCAGTTACGAAGATAGCTCAGGCCTGGCAAAATTTAATTCTATTATATATGACGTGGTCATGAATCCTGGCCCGGGGGAGCATTGGCTTTTAAAAATTTTCTAATCAAGTCCTAGGGAGCTCTGACGGCCTAGTGACAAGAAGCTGCACTGCAATCCTGAAGGCATATGGTTCGAGGCCACCACTTGTTCTGTGGGAGAAGGATGGACAATCTCCTCCCATGTGATTAACTGCCTCTGAAAACCCACTTGAGGGTCAGCTATGGGCCGGTCAACTCGACAGTACATAACAACAACAACAACAACAATCAGGTCCTGTGAATCTTTGCATAATCTCTTTCTCTTTCATATTGTTGTTGTTAGGTGCCATCAAGTTAAATAAAATTCATAGCAACTCTATGAACAAGAGATCGGACACTGTCCTATTCTGTGTTTCTTAGTTGCAGTAAAATAAAGAGGAATTAAGAACATATCTTAGGAACTGTCAGTTCTTTTATCTTCAATAAGGTTTCTGACTGGCTTAAAAAATCTCCTCAGTACTTTGCCATATGGACTTTGTAATTTTGGGCCCAGAGATTTTACATTTTATTCTGATGTAGCTGGAAGACATGGGCTTTATTAAGGGAAACTTAAGAAGGCCATCCATGTCTTCCATCAAATCTGTAAGGGATATTTTTTATATTTGTCACAGTTTTCAACAAATGTAACTATATAAAGATGATATGAGGGGTTTTCCTGTTTGCTCATAGATCATGCTAGAGTAGGGCTGAGGATGGTCACTTTCTGTATTTTTCAAAACTTTTCTGCATCTAAACATCCCGATGTCACTGGCATGAAATGTTCTAGGCTTCTCCTTAGAGGGAGGAAAGACCTTTTTAAAAGATCAAAACTCCTTGGTGTGGGAAATACTTCACTGCAGTATCTTATGTGTTGTTGTTGTTGATAGGAGTCATTTAGTCAATCACGACTCATTAAATAACAGATCTGAACCTCGCCTTGTCCTGCCTATCCTCCAGCCCACTGCTGTAGTCATTGTGTCAAACCATCCCATTGAGGGTCTTCTCCTTTCCAGGATGCTGCTCTCTCCAAATAACTGGCCTCTCCTGACAACATGCCCAAAGTATGTGAGATGAAGTTTAACCATCCTTACTTGTAGGAGAACCCTGGCTGCACTTTCTCTAAGACAGACTTGTTTGGTCTTTGGGCAGTCCATGAGATACTCAGTAATCTTTTACAACACTTCTCAAAGTCATTGATTCTTCTCCTCTCATTTGTATTCACTGTATAACTTTCAGATGCATAGAAAGCAACTGAAAATACCATGGCTTAGATCAAGCACACTTTAATCTTTACTTTTCAGTATCTTATAGGGGCAGAAAAGTTAATGAGAATGATTTAGTAATGACTAAGTATGACAGAAGAAGAATCAAAGCCTTTGAGTTGTGGTGCTGGAGAAGAGTCTTGAACATATCACAGATTGCCAAGAAAACCAACAGGTCCTTTGGAGAGGTTGAAACCAAGTTTTTCCTTGGAAGGCAGAATGTTGAAAGTCCATCTCACATGTGGCCAGGAGAGACTGATCCTTGGAGAAGGATATCATGCTCGGAGGAGTGGAGGGACAGTACAGGAGAGGAAGACTCTGAACGAGAGGGATTGATACAGTAACTGGGTCAATGGAGTTTGGTGTGTCAGAGTCAGTGATACTGGCTCAAGATAGGACAGGCTTCAGAGCTGTTGTACATAGGGTCACTATGAGTCGCAGGCGACTCAACATCACATAACAACAACAAAAACAAGACATAATTTCTCAATCCATTCCTTTGTGGTTGGATATTTGGCATGGAATACTACACAGTATGCAGGAGCAATATTTTGTAAATTATTACCCAACTTGGCAGGGACTAAGAGAACATTATGTTGAGTGAACTAACTCATTCCCACAAGGACAAATATATAAAACCATTATTGTAGAAAAAGTATAATGATCAACTCTTCTTCTGTCACTCTTAGTCATTGTCCAACTCTCTAATGCATAGCAAGTGATTGTGAAGACCATGGCTGTGATCAGGAGCAGCTTAGTCTCTAGACTGACATCATTGCTCTTTAGTACTTTGGAGAGGTCCCTGAGACCCACTTCCCCAATGCAATTTGTCTTTTGATTTCCTGACTGTTGGTGCCAAGAATGTTGATTGTGGAGCCGAGCAAGCTGAAATTGTTAACAACCTCAACCTCTTATCCATCCATCATGGTGCTGCCAATTGACCCAATGGTGAGAATCTTTGTCTTCTTGATGTTAAATCTTTAATATTGAAGACTACATTCATTGACCTTCTGCAGCAAAAGCTTCAGGTCCTGGTGCAATACATCATTTCATTTCTTGCCTGCTGGTACCAAGGGTGCTGATTGTGGATCCAAGTAAAATGAAGTTGTGTTTTGTTGGGCCCCCACCCCCTTCTATCATTATTTATTGTCCGACTTTCAGATGCATAGTAAGTTACTGAAAAGACCCTAACTTGAATAAGATTCACTTTAATCTATAAAATGACATTACTGACATTTTGGAGAGCTCTCTGATAGCAGATTTTCCCAATTTAACATCTTTTTTGATTTCTTGACTGATAGTACCAGTGTTTTGATTGTGGATCCAATAAGATGAAATCACTGACAACTTCAATCTTCTTTATATCTATCATGATGTTGTCTATTGGCCCGGTAGTGAGGATTTTTGTTTTCTTAATGTAGAGATGTAATTCACACTGAAGGTTGTAGTCTTTGATCTTCTGCAGCAAGTATTCCAAGTCTTTTTCACATTCTGCAAGCAAGATTGTGTCAACTGCATAACATAGGTTCTTGATTAGTCTTTCTCTGATCTTGATGCCATATTCTACTTCACAAAGTCCAGTCTTTTGAAACATTTACTCAGCAAACAGATTGAATAGATATGAAGAAAGGATACAGTCCTTATGCATATCTTTATTTTAAACTATTAAGTGTCCTCTTGCTTTGTTCAGATAACCATCTCTTGTTCTACAATTCATATGAGCATAATTAAGTGTTCTTGGATTTCCATTTTTCTCAATGGTAGCAAATTTTGTTATAATGCCCACAATCAAATGCATTTGCATAATTAATAAAATACAAATAGGCATTCTTCTGGCATTTTTTCATTCAACCAGGATCCATTTGACATCAGCGATATGTCCCTGGTGCCATGACCTCTTCTAAAACTAGATTGATATTCTGACAATTCTCTATCGACACACCATATCTTTTTTTTCTAGAAAAACCAGAAAACTACTATAAAAAGTGTGGAGGTAGCATTTTAGAGGAAAAAAAATGTTAGTGAATGTCTTACTCTCTGAGTGATCTTAAAAACTGAATGAAATATGTTTACGGCATTGAAGTCTATGGGGGAGAGAATAGTCTAAAAGTATTATATTTTAGGGCATTATTTTTATCGTAGGAGTATGCAATGA